ACATTGCTTTCAGGTTATTTATATCCCATCCTAACAGGAGGAAACCTAAAATGATTAGTGACCTTCTTACTTAAAAGTACCGGGCCTAACTCCTTTAGGATTTCTACCTTCAAACTTTTTGTGGGTGGGTCTAAAAAACATTGTTTCCATAGGTCAGCCCTGTTATCTTCTGCAGAAAGCATGCAGGGATCCTCCACTGCAGAGCATATGACAACTTGAAACACACTTGTTTAAAATCTAAGTCTTTATATTTGAGTTAGTTGATAGGAGTCACTTTAAATGCAAATATTGTAATGCAACTGGCTACATCCATGTTCATTAAAGTAGACTTTCAGAACTGCAAAATTGTTATCAAGTGCTTTTGAAAACATACAATCAATGATGTTGCTCGCGGACTGATCTCTATGTGAAGATTTTATTTAAATGGCTCCAGATTTGCCTCCCAGTTTTGGAAACATCAGTGATATATATTCAAGACAATGATCAAGTCTGTGATGGAAAGGGCACATGCTCAGCAGTGGTAAACACAGCCTAGGTAGTCTTGACTTTTAATGAGAGCCTGAATATGCATTCTTGCTTTGTAAATTAAAATGCCATTATTAATCAGGATCTTAGAAGAAAAGATCTTAAATGGATCACAGAAAACTGAAGAGGGTATCCTAGAGTGTTTATGGGGCCCAGGGCAGTGGGATGTGAGAGCTCTGTTGCTGTTCCCTGCAAGGACACGGGTGTGGGTGGGTTACGGTGAACAATGTGGCAGAGGCCAACTGTGTGCATGGGAACTGTGAGAGGGAGCTCCTCGCTTTGCAAAGACCCAGGACAAATGATCCCTTTGCCTGCTCCTCCACTCTGCAGCTCTGAGACTGAAGTTAACCTTCTCCTGCACTGCAGTGGAGAACAGCCCTTTGTGTCGCGAAGCACATTGTAAAACATGCCATGCTGTGTGAATGAAGTCTGCAGGAAAGGTTTGTTTAGCTGTGATTCCTTGCAGATGTATGTTCTGTGAAGCATCTGTGGGGTTCAGTGAATTCAGAATCATGAACTGAAACAGAACCATAATCATTTCTTCTGAGAACTTCGGTGGTAGAGTGCCAGTCAGCCTAGAAGCAAACAAGGCAATGCGAAAATTAAGATTATGGGAAAGGCCGCTGCTGCTGCTGCTGCTGCTTTTAAAATTGAGGGGACTTCTTAGGTATGTAAAGATATATAAATTTGTAAAATAAATAAGACTTTTAAACAAAAATCCAAACCAACCTATCAAGATCTGTGAACTTTCTGGATTTACACAATATTAATAGTAATTCAACCAGCAGAACTAAAATGTTAGAGTAACTCATCCTTTTTTGAGGAAGTGAGACTTTGAGACCAACTTTCTCCCATTTCTCTTGGGTAGAAATGCATAATGCCCATACAAAACTCAGGGAAAACTCAGAATGTGGGAATTGTTGTGTTGGGAAGCAGTGTGTCCAACCAGAAACTGAATGCCTTAGTAAAGAGAGACATGCATATCCTTTTTAATTTGGCCTTGTTCTTTGTGGAAAATGTCGGAATCATTCTTTATCTTTTTAAGCACAATTCTCCATGCAATTGGGCACTAGATTTGGACTGAGAGGGACTTTGGCAATTCAGTCCTTACTGTAATCTGAGAGGTGTTTTGTTAAGGTGGTTTCTGAATGGAAATCTTGCCTTAGCTAAATAAATAGCCTCAGCCCATAACCAACATTAACATTTGCAGGGCTCTTGTTAGCGGCTCTGTCAGAGTCCCCACTTCCAATCTGCAGTACAAGGATAAAGGGCTGAATCAGGTAGGAGGGAAAAAGGTGCTTCTTTTTCATCCTGCTCCCCTGTGAGCTCCAAAACCCCACTGGTCTCACGGCTGCAGTCCTAGGCTAGCTGGAGCCCTGGTTTTTGTTGCAAGTCCCCGCTTGTTCCACTCAGTGCCAGACTTGGGTGATTCAGTGCCTATAAGTTTGGGAACAAATAGGGCCATCCCAAATCAAACAAAAGGCTTTTACATAGGAGGTTCTGTGGACAGTCAGAGGATTATACTCAATACATTAAAAAGTGAAGATTCCTTGCAGTGCCTAAAAAGGGCCTGTGAGCTTCCAGGAGCTATGGAATGTGAGGAACCATTTAGCAACTGAATGTTGAGAGATCCTTTGAAAGAAGAAGGTTGGGGAGAGGGAACTGGCCTTCTCACTTCCTTCATAATTTAAAGTGTGGGTTTGGATTTATACAAGGACAATAACATGATAAAGCACAGATCGTTTTTCCATGAATTCTTTATATTACATAGAAAAAATAGAGAAATACTGTCTGAGTACTTGGATAACTGTTAAGGAGAACAAGAGGGGTAAGTTGAAATACCGTAAAATATATAAAGCCAGGCAGTGATACGGTTTCCCTCACTGGACCTGCATGGCCTGTACCTCACACACAATGACCAACTGAGGGACATGACAGACTCAGTGAAGTAAGTAAAAATTCGTGTGCTGGCCTCATTCACACGCAATCTCCTACGACACGCAATTGGATGATAGAGGTGTCTTCCCCCATGACTCAGGCACCTGAAGAACACCTTTGTGAAGACTGTCACTGAAGGCTTTCGAGGGCTACTAGTCCCTAGGGCTCCATGCTACCTCAGCATGAGAGGACAGTAGTCTGTGCGCACCACTTGCTGGGGACCCTGGGCAGGTGGGTTTTAATGTATTTTGTATTCAATGTTGTAAGCCGCCCCGAGGCCTTGGCAAGGGGCGGCATAGAAATGTTTTAATAAATAAAATAAATAAATATAGCGATCAAATTCTGCTTGTGGGCTTCCCATGGGTCGCTGGTAGGCTACTGCATGAACATGATGCTAGACCAGATGGACCCTTAGCCTGATCCAGCACTACTCTTCTCATGTTCTTTAGGACATGAAGGAAAGCTACCAGGGATGGTCTCAAGCTGTTCTGCACAACCTGTCAATAAATAAAGACTCATCAGCAAGCCTGTTCCATTTTCTATGAAGAGCAAAGGGAAAAGCAAGTTCTAAAAAAGTTGCAACACCATTGCTTTTCTGCTGATTTGCAGAGTCCGAGCTTTTGCACAACACAGAAACTGAGTGGAGGAGAATTTAGTGGTTTGCCATAGGAGATGTGAGAGGTGTTCTGTGAGGTTTCAGAATGTCTCTCCTTGTTCTGTATGAGGAGGATTTAGGTGGATCCCTTTTCCCCTCCAGAAACTCTCTCTTGCCCCCACCCCATTCCAGTAAGATTATGATGCTGGAGAGGGATCCAGATAGAGAAGACTTGTACCCTGACTTGTATCCTCTCTACAGTGTTTGGAAGCTCTTAGGGAAAGGAATATCTTTTTCACTCTCTCAAAACCTATCACCGTCACTTTGCAGCAGGACTGGGGAACCTGTGACCCCAGTTCTGAAATCTTCAGCAAGTTCTTTTCTTTGCAAAACAGATCTGCTTCTCCCCCAGAAGATAGCTGGGCAGGAAGGACAGCAGAGAGAGAAAGGGGTATATGAGGGAGGTGGGAGGGAACCCACTTTTGGCTTTGATTCTGCATTATAAGGATCAGGTCTGGACTTTCCTGGCATGTACACTGCTCTCAAGAGAAGGAAGATTGCTCTCCCTGCTACACAGCAGGAATAGTGAACCTGAGGTCCATAGGGCCTGGGAGTCCCCCTAAAGCTCCTCCTCGCCAAACATCCTGCCTCATCAGAAGGGGGAGGAGGCAGGAAGGCAACTGAGCTGCCACTTTGCTCCCCCATCACCTTCCCCTTTTGAGAAAAACAACAGAGAAGCAAAGTTGGTTGAGTCTTTATCTGGAGAAATCTCATGCAGAGCAAAGCAGACTTCCTAAAGCTCCAGTCAGAGGCCCATCCTGGCTCTTTGGTCAAGAACTCTTTGACAGCAGTTGTGCCCCATCCCTGATGTCTGAGATGGGACCTTCCCCCTCCCCAAGAGAGGTCTGGGAAGAGCAGTTTGGCCCTGAACCCCAAAATGGGTTCCCACAAGTGCCGTGTAGCAATGAAGGGGTCAGACCCATGTCTGGCAGTGGTGACTTTCAGCAAATCATAGTGCAGGACGAAGAGGTTCCAGGAGGGAAAGAAAAGAAGGTGGGGAGAAAAGAGAAAGCAGCTTTCTTTTTCCTTCTCCCTCCCTGACACCCAGAATCCTCCTGAAACAATGAAGTGCCCATTCCAGGCTAAAGCAAGGGTGTCAAACATCTTTCAGCCCAAGCGAGAAGGTCTGGGGACTGCATTCTAATAGTGGGGACTCTTTTGATTTAAACATGCATAGGATTGTACCCTTACCAAGGTATATACCTCCACTGAACATAGTAGCACATACTTTTGAGTAAGTATGTAGAGGAATGCACTGGTAAGTCTTTTAATGTACAAGTTTGGCTCATGAAGACTTTAAAGGGAGTCATCCCTTTAAGAAACAAAAGCTACCCCACTTCTTGTCTGATCTCCTTTATTTAAATAAATATAAATATAAATTTGATATAAAACTATTCACATAAAAACAAGAGCATCCAAATGACTCTAATTCGGATTCTTTCTCTCCCCTCCATTTTTTTTTTAATAAAGACCTGTACAAAAAAAAAGTATCTCAGACCATGTTTTACATTTTCCAGTTTCTAAACTTCCTCCCACAGTCCTGGGGCAAATGGCATCCCCACCCACTCTGCCTCCCCAGCAGAGATCTCTGGGAGAGAAAAGAGGCTATTGCTCCCCACCCCTGGCAGGCTGGCCAGGAGTGCCCAGACTGAGTATTAATGCGAGATGGAGAAGGGAGGGGGACAGAATGCAGCTGTTTATGTTACATGAGTAGCATCCCTCTGAATGCTGATTTACATTCCACCAACTCTAGCGCTAGTCCTTGACGCAGAGTCCTTCAGAGTCTTCCCCTTGTCTTTGCAGATAGGAGGCCAGTAGGCTCAAGACCGCCTCTTCCTGATCGTCCAACAAGAAGAGCCACCCAAGTCCAAGAGGAGGCTTTTCATAAAGGGGAGACTTCTTTGTCTTCATTAGCCGAGGCTGGCGAGAGCGACTCTTCATCCTCTGACCGGGGAAACCGTCCCGGGTTGCTGTTGGTGCAGCTGCAGCCGCTGTGCGTGTTTCTCTGGGTGCCTTTGCCTTCCTTCTTGTGCTTCACCCTCCGATTCTGGAACCAGATCTTCACCTGCTTCTCGGACAAATTGAGGTACGTGGCGATCTCAATCCGCCGCAGCCGGGACAGGTACATGTTGGATGAGAACTCGCGCTCCAGCTCCAGGAGCTGCGTGCTGGTGAAGGCTGTGCGCATCCGCTTGCCGTTTTGCAGCTGGCCGGCCCCATCCGAGCCACCTGTAGCAGGGACCGAGCAAGGCGGCCTTGGTTACCACACATACATGGGAAAAGCGAGGCTTACCCCATAAGGAGGCAAACTGGGGCCCCCGCCAGATATTCTGGACTACAAATCCCAGCAGCCCCAGCCAGCAAGAGGCACCCAGGTTGTTGAGCCCCTCGCTTGACCTGCTCTGTGCCCAGAGTCTGCTTTTAACAGTCCTGAAATGAGAAGCAGTGCTCAGGAAGCACATTCAGGGTTCCTTGTCACTAAATATCTAGTCCTAGGATTAGGGGCAGCAAATCAAGAAGCCTGGCTTGGGATCTTGGCACCAGATGGTTTGCACAAAGAAGCCTGAGTCAGTGCAAAAGCAAGCATGAAACGGCTTGCCAGGACAAGAGGCGTAGAGACAGACCCACTGGGCCAGACCAAAGGTTCCTCGAGACACAGAGGGAAGCACGCACAGAGGCAAGATAGTCCTCTCCTGACTGCTTCCCGGCACCTGGTGTTCGGAGGGTGATTTATGGCTCCACGACCAGTCTGATTAATTTGACTTGGTCCCTCGAGACACCTACACTGATGGCCATTAGATCTCTTGATAAATGCCGTGCACGAACCTGTAACGTGCAAAGCAGCAGCAGCTTAAGCAAAGCAGCAGCTCAATCTGAGGTAAAGGACCCCAAGTTTCAGTGTTATGGGAGACAGCAAGCGGGGGGACAGGGAGAGCGAGAGAAGGTCTTTCTTGCAATAAGCGGAAGTGATCATATGCAGTTTTGTTAGCCCGCTTCAAAGTTCTGCACACTTGACAACAGGTTCAACAGGACATAAACTGACTCAAAGAAGGGATGCCAAGGCTGCCTCAAAGCCACAGTTCAGGCACAGGGACCCTCTCCTCCTCCCTTCTAAGACTGATAGGGTTAGTTGTAATTACCCAGGTGTAATCAATAAGAATCTGCTCCGACTCTGCCCATGCTGCTGCCTCCCAGATATTTTGGAAGACAGTCCCCATTTCCCATGACAGTTAACCTGCTGGCTGGGACTGTTGGGAGCTGTAATCCTTCCAGTCTGGAGGGCATGAGGCTGATCACCAAGGCACTTCCTCAGAGCTCCTTCCAAATGTTAAATTCTGATGTCACTTTTTTTTTTTTTTTTTTTTTTTTGGGGTAGATAACTATCCTGGCTAGTTTCTCTGGGCTTAGCTTAGGAAGAGAACAGCCTCATCCAGAGGTGTTCCAAGGCAAGCTAGCAGGAAATCAGCCTTACACCTCAACTGTTCTTTTCCAAGGAGAACATCTCTTTGTTCTTAAGGCCACCTTATACGGCAGACATCAATAGATCACTTATGCCTTTCAGAAGCTGTCTCACTGAAGTCAATGTCACCACTCAGAATAGAAGGTACATGCATATTGACACCTCCAACGTGTTTTCTTTGACTCCTGAGAAGTAAGTCCAGCTTGAGCAAGCCAGTTTGATTTGCCAGTCTATGCCTTCGTGATGCCAGTCCGTCCAGGCAGACTGCAGTGAGACCAACCTGAAGGGCAGGTGTGTAGACTGAGATCCTCCAAAATATCTCATCGACCTCGGCTCTGGTTACCAGCTCTGCAATACTTGAGAGTGGCCAGAAATGAATTAGAAGCTACTCAAGCTAGTCACCTGTTTCAGTGTGATGGAACACACAATTAGACCGAGATGACTCCATACCACAGGTTTAGATGGAGGCCAATCCTTGTAAAACTTCCTTCAAGGCTCAGAGAAATCACCACTGGATCTATTCTAAGCTATCCATCCCCAGTCAACATCAGAGAAGCGCATCTCATAAAAGTGATTTGAATGCCAGTTTGACCCGGACCCAGAGTTGGATCCTCGAGCCGCAGAAGCGTTCAATTGAAATTAATGGGACAACTTGCCAGTCTCGGAGGGATTGGCTTGTGGGGAGGGTTGCAATTCTCAGAAGCAGAGAAGTGCCCTGTGGCTAGGCTCTGGTTCAGCCTGTGATCAGAGCCAAAGACGTCCGTTCAGGTCCCTGCCCTGCCGCAGCTTCAGGGAGCACACTTACCCTCGCCACTTTACGCAGGCACGTGGAAGCATCTTTCACATCCAGACCTTCTTGGACTGCCTTCCCATCAGCCCTCAGCAGCATAGCCAGTACCAAGGGATGATGAAAGCTGCAGTCCACGAATGTCCAGAAGCCACCCAGACTGCACCCCTGACTAGTTAAACCCCAGTGCAAAAGCTTGGATAGTCCAGCAATCCTCGATAGACTTTGACCGAGGTTATCCGCATCTGGTGCCGAGTCAGGGACACAGGGATAGTCAGGTGCACCAAGAATTCACTCCTCCTCTGATCCCCTTCCCCAACAGCTCTCCAGATGGCACTTGCCCCCTCCTCCTCTTCAGGGGACGCTCACTAAAGCAGTCCTTCCTTGGCTACCTGGGACAGAGGAGCTGAGTAACTCCCTGGGGCCACAATGGAAGCAAAGAAGCTGAGGTCTTTTGGGAGGGGTCGATGCGGGTTATTGGACTTGGAGACGAGGCGACCACCTTCCTTTTGCGGTGGGCGCCGGCGGGGCCAATGGACTGAGGGGGTGAGGCGGCTAGCGGAGGGCCGCAGCTGAACGGGCGGTGGGACCACCCGTCGGAGAAAATGTGGGATTACTCCGGAGGATCGAGTCTCTCCCAGAGGCGGCTCGTGAGTCCAGGGATCGCGACGGGGCAGCGCGCGGGGCGGGGGCGGCGGCGGGGGCGGCGGCTCTCCGCTTGCCGAATGCTTGGACTCTTGGGGCGGATGGCGAGGGTGCGTGGGTCGGCTGCGGGACTGGAGGACTGGTTGGGGAAGCGCGCTCGGACCTGGCGAGGCCACCTGCCTGTCTCCCCTGACCCACCCGTGGCGTGCCCCGTCCACCGCTCCCTTGCGTGGCCCCCCGTCCGGGCGGGGAGGCTCCTACCGATGCTGAGACAGTGGAATCGCCGCGGGTCGCTCACGCTGTAGGCGGCTGCCGAGCAGACAGGTGGGTGGCCCAGCGCGTGAGCCGCCGCCGCCGCCGCGCCGTGCTGCTGGTGCTGCTGCTGCTGCGGGGCCGGCTGCTGCGGGGCGTGATGGCTCATCCGGGGGCAGTACGGGGCCTCTCCTCCTGCCCCGGGCCCGGCAGCGGCCGCGGCGGGAGGGAAGTGGCCCTTGAGCAGCGGGATCGTGGCCGCGCCGCCGCCGCCGCCGCCGCCTCCTGCGGCCCGGGCCGACGCGGCGTGCAGGTGCGAGGTGACACAGAGCGGGCACACGCAGAAGGCGCCGCTCTTGCGCGACGCCGGGCAGGCGGGCCCTCCGGCCACCGACAGCACCAGGGGCGACGCCGGCACGCCCAGGGGGATGAGGAAGTCCTGCCCGGGGGGCGGAGGGTGGTGATGATGCTCCGGCAGCGAAGGCGCCGCCGGGCGCGCCGAGTCCTTGATGATGAGCGAATCCACATAGAAGGAGCGCGACATGGCCGGGATGCGGCGGGAGGGGAGGGGCAGGAGAAGCCGCGGCTGTGTGGATCGGGCGCTTCTGGCTGGATCGGGCGCTTCTCCCTCTCCCGCTCTCCCGGCCAGTCCTCCCGGGGCCAAGTCGCCTCCGCCAAAGCCCCTTGGGCGAGCCCGGAAGGTGCTTATGTCTGAGAGGCGAACAAAGGGGGGCTCTGGAGAGGGCTGGTCTTAAAAGAGCCAATCTCCCCCCGCCGCCACTTTCCCTTTTCTCTAGACCTCCCCTGGATCGCCTCCCCCCTCCCCGCCTACTGCGAGTGCGGGGATTTATAGCAACTCTTTGGCACGTGATGCCGGGCAATCGACGCGCATCCCCGGCCCTGCGGGCTTCTGATTCGGGAGCCCTTTCAGAGGATCCCCTCCCCCGCGCTCCTCCCGGACTGAAACAAAACAGAGAAAGGAGGGGAGCTCTTGGCAAAGGGCGTGTGTGTTGTGTTAATTTCCATGGGACTCTCGAGCAGCCGCCTCTCTCCTCCTTCCCCACCAGAAGAGCCGCGACTACCCCGGGCGAGGCGCTGTTCACGCCAACGCCGCGCCTCGGGGGGCCAAAAGTTTGCTTTCCTCCGCTCGCCTTCGCCGTCCGGCCTGTGCGCCGCTTTCCTCTTGATTCGGCCTCGGCTCTTCAGCCCCGCCGCCAGTAGCCCTCTCTCCTCCAGCCAGCCTTCCCCAACCCGGTGCTCTCCGGAAGTTTTGCTGCCTGGGGCTGCTGGGTTTGCAAGTGCGAAACACCCAGGGGGTACCAGCTTGGTGGCCACGTGTCTGCCACAGCTCACGCGTCTGACTCTGGGGAGAGCCACCAAAGCCCACGACGCTGCCCGGTGCCGTGGGAGGATGAAACCCCATGGAAAGAAACCCACGCTTGCATTTCTGTAATGTTTCGCCAGCAGCCGCCTCCTGCGTCGTTCCGCGCTCCCGTCCTCGCGCCTTTGAAGTGCAGCACGTCCCGCTGACTGCGTGGAAGAAGCGTGGAAATGAGGGTGCGGCCGTTTTAATGGCCGTGCCACCTTGCTGGAAAGCTTGTCCCACGGAGCTGGCGAACCTCCGCTGTCCTTGGACTCCGATTCCCATTAGCCCTAGCCCTTCTGACCAATGATGAGGACTGAAGGAAGTAGCAGTCTAACCATCACGGCCTCTCAAGCCCTGCGCTAAGGCTTCCGTGGTCTTGCCCACACCGGATAGGTCCTTTCGAAACCTGGTGGGGCATGCTTCCTGGCAAAGCTAATACTGCGCTCTCAGGCTCGGATCTTCGAGGTTTTGCCGTTTCGAGAGGGCGCAACATAGGGTAGAAATGCAGAGTCCGCAACCGACTGGCCCCACTGCTCTATCTTCAGCCTGTTGCCGCGAACGCTTAAGCAGGAGCTTAACCGTTTTCTGCATCGGCTCCGGGGGCGCCTTTTGCAGTTTGGACCCTTGCTTTCCAGGAATCAGGTTAATTAACCACCCCGCTTGTTCTCTCCTCTCCTTCTGTTAACGTCGTTGAATTTCGGGTGTGTCCAGAGCTCCAGTCCATTTGGCAGTAAATTGCATTGATGTCAGTGCAGTTCATTCAGGGCAGTTTAGGGTGCAAACCTATACATGTTTGGACAGAAAGAGTCCTTCAAGTTCCAGCAGTTCCCAGCCCTGTTTGACTTTTTTCTGTCTAAGCCTGTGTAGGATTGTCCATGTATACTTTCATTCAGGAGCAAAGAAGTGAGTCCTATTGAATTAAGCGGGATTTCCATTCGTGTAAACGTGTAAAAACCAAGTGAGCAGGTTTACTGCACACTCCCCCAGAAAATGGGGAAGATTTATTAATATTAGGATGAATTTTTCAACATATTACCTAGTGTAAAGCAGCACAATAAAACACAGTGGGATTTGCTTCCATACACGAAAATTTATCGGAGTTTGAGAGGCAAGTAATAGACTTAACAGGAAGAGGAGAATTGTAATTTGAAGTAGTGATTTCTTGGAGAAAAATGTCAAAAACGACTTTGCTTAATATATTTATTAGGTCAGTTCAAATCCTGCCACCCTCCTTCCGCCACAAGCACACACAACCTGCTCCTTGTAACATCTTTGTCTGATCTGGAGGTCTCTAAAGCTTGCATAATTATTGTGTCCTTCCAGTTGTGCTAATATAGATATCACACTATATAGATTTTATCATGTTTCCTAGGAACAACATGGCCGTTGCTTTTAGCATGTGACTTGCAAAAAAAAGTACTGCTTATCCCCAGCAATGAACCATGTGATTCCTATTTTAAAGGTGCAAGAAGCATGTAAAGACAGCAAAAAGCTCTACAACTGCAACATGGCTGCCTGGGGAATGCTGGGAAGTGCAGATTTTCTCCCCCCTAAACCTACATAGGCTTGTGCCCTCGGTTATTTTGACCTGGCCGAAGGCATTCGCGCTGATCACATCTAGGCTGGATGACTACCGTGTGCTCTGCATGGGCCTGGCCATGAAGACAGTTCGAAAACTTGAACTGGCGCGGATGTGGACCACCATGATTTCGGCTGAGCGCATTACACTGAATCTCTACCATATTTTCTGGTTAAGTGTCCGGTTCTAGACTCAGTGCAAAGTGCCTGTTTTTATCCTTCTAGTTCTGAACAGCCTAGGCAAGGGATAGGGAACCAGGAGGATATTTTGACTTGATGGTCCAGAATGGACAATTCTCTACAGGGGCAATCCTATTCAGGTTTATACCGTAAAAAAGCTCTATAACTCCCAGCGTTCCCCAGCCAACATGGCCTTTGGGGCTTTATTCTGTCTAAATATGCATATAATTGTCCATCAGGTACATTAAAAGAAGAAGACAAAGAAAAGAAGAAGCAGATGTCTTCAGTTGGTTCATTCCATATCTAGTTGAAGATAAAATCCATATTATTTGCTTGACTACCCTATCTCAGTAAAGCTATTTACTTGAAATTATGTGAAGATTCATAGGTGGGGGGGACAGTGGTTGAGGAGGTCAAGGACCAAGGTGGGTTTCTACAGTTTATGGCAAGTAAGTACCATTGAACACACCCCTTAGTAAGCAGTTTGCTTAGTGCCTAACAGGAGTGGGTAACACGTAGTTCTCCAGATAGTTCTGGAACAGCCCACTATCATGGGAGATCATGGGAACTGCAGTCCAGTGACATCTGGGGGGCCACAGCTTGCCCATTCCCGGTGCATAGACTGGAAGAGTAAAGCATACTTACAACAAGGTACTATGCATATTGACTCAGAAATAGGTCCCACTGTACTGTAGTTTTAATCCCATTTGTATCTGCTCAGAAGTTCAATGGGACTTAGTCCTAGGTGAATGTGTATAGAATTGCCATCTAATGGCACAACCTCATTTATGTCTACTCTGAAGTTAAGCCCCATCAAGTTCTCTTGGGCATAATTCTGTGAAAATAGGATTACAGCCTAACTCTACTTCTTTGGAGCTGAACGGCACAATGCTGTGCATGTTGATAGAAAAACACGAATTGCATTGGTTGGTTCTCCCGGGAGTTGTAGGACTTTTTTCCTGTCTAAACACGCAGAGCATGGCCTGAATCAGAAGTGCCCCGGGCTGAAGGGCAAACAGCCTGCTTCAAAGCATGCTTGCTTTGGCGTAAGGTCCAGGGAAATAGGGTAGGTGGAAGAGTCCCCCTACTTTCCGTGGGACCACCTTACTTCAGAGGAAATGTATTTGGGATAGGTATGTAGGAGTTATTCTGGGTTTTCGCAGAGGTGGTTGTAAGCTTTTCGAAAGGGAGGGAGAGTGGTTTTGCCACACTGGCCATTAGCTCGAGGTGCGAGGCTTGGAGATTCTTCTGTTCGCTCCCGGGCCACAGCAGAAGACGTTCAAGTGAAGCCTTGGCGATCGTTGCAGGGCTCCTTCACTCCGAAACATTAATGCAAAGAGAAAACGTCGGCCGGAAGGACGCCTTTGATCTCCCCCGAGTGCACCGAGGCGGTCAGGCCGAGGGAAATTGGCTAAATGGCGAAAAGGCGCGCTCGGCCGTTCCAGCACGTTTCAGGGGGCACTAGAGAGAGGCGGCCCGAAACACAACGCAGCCCATCGCGCCGCTTCCCACTGACCTGCTGCGGGGTGGGCGGCTCAGAAGGGGCTTAGCGAGTCCATGGAGGCAGGATCGCAGCCGCTGCCCGGGTCGGGTGCGAGGACTGCTGCCGATCCACTTCCACTTGGGCCCATTGCCTGGGAAGGACCGCAGAGGCCACCGATGGACTCCAACTGCCCGGGGGAAGAACGGGAAGGTTGCGATCCGCAGCACACTTACTCGAGGGGAGCCCCACTGAAACTGTGGCAGGTTGCTTCGAGTGCGCGGATGCACGCCGGGGGCGTAAGGGGAGGAATGCCGCGATGTTCTGGGTGCTTGGAGAACCAGCGAGAGCCGTGCCACTCGGCTTTCCTTTGACACGAAGCAGGGTTGATCTTGTGTGAATTGGCTGAGACTGATGAGAGCTGGAATCCGAGCACATCTGATAGCTCATAGGATCTCGAGCTCTACTTCAAACTTGCAAGGGCGGAAAATTCAAATTTCTGACCACGGGGTTGTTAGCCACCCTCCCTGTTTGCGGAATTTCTGTTGTCCGCTTTGCACGCCCACAGGTTGAAAGCGGGGGTGGTTTTCACAGGGCATCAAGCGCATAGGCGGCTCGGACGAAAGCAAGTGGGGAATTTCTTTCGGCTGGGGACTTGTGCTTGGCCCCACCACTTGGCACCGCAGGTCAGCTGCTCGGTGCTCTCTCCCCATGTCCACGGGCTCTTCGCTTCACAGTCCTCGCACCCACCCACCTTTCCTTCCCCATCCTCTGGATCGTCCGTCATATTTCAGCTAAGGAGTCATCTCGAAGAAACTCGCGGAGTTCTCAGCTTGCCGCTCATGATACAAAACAGCGGAAGGCTCCAAGCTTAGACCGTTGGACTGGGACTGGGGAGGTCTGGGTTCTAGCCGCCCCCCTTGACCATGAGGTTCCCCGG